AACATTAAAAGAAGAACAGTAGGTATTTATTTATCAATAACCTTCTAAAGCGTTAACGAACCTACAATTAGTAACAAAGCTGATTTCACTGTTTACAGCTATTTAATATTTTAACATATGCTTTTTGAGGAAGAAACAAAAACCTATTCATTCGAACTTTAAAATAAAATAGACAGAAATAGGATGTGTCAAATGTTTTTTTAAAAGTATTTAAATAAAAAATGCAAATGCTTTTTTGATTTCTTATTTCAAATGGAAAATACAAAATAGATTTCCCTTTTCTATTTTAAATGCTAATTGTAAAATACGTATTTTCAAAATACCTACTTTTTTCGAATAAATATTTTTTTGTAGTACCTACCTTTTTAATTTTCTACATTTACTTAAGTATAAAGTATTTTTTAAGAAAACATTGCAGGCATATGTTTATTTTTTAAATATTTGAGTTTTTCTAGACAGTAATAAGAGCAAGAAATGGAATCCATAGTTTGTAGTTCTTCTAAGAATTTTATATTATACGCATTTATTTGCACACCACAAGATCTTTATTTTCTGTTTTACACAGCTGGCGAATATCAATTTGATATTGTTTTGCGGGCTGTTTTGTAGTAATTCATAGAATTTCGTAGCTCCTTTCTAAATATACGATAAGTGGTGATTTGGCAGGTGCTCATATTAATTTGGAACTTCAAAATTCCATGGACCATGACATTGAATCGGGAAAACAATATCAATCTAATATTTTAGATTATCAATTTCCAAGGAGTTTAGAATTTCTTTTGGGCTCTCTTCAGTTAAAGAATTAGAAGACATTAATGCAATGTATCTTTGTTCTCTTTTCAAGCTTCTAATACCTTCAATGGCCAATGTGAGCAGCTTTTATTCATCTTTGTATATAATGTTTGATCGGTAATACTATCAAAATCTTTAACCCCAAAAATGTATTTTGCGTTTTACAAACAGAAAATATGTTTGGAAAGGTATTCTAAATAAAATAGAAAATGCTTTTCTGAAAAAAGTATTCAAATGCAAGATAAAAATTGGTAGGTATTTTTTATTTTGCATTTGCATTTTGAATGCAAGTATTTCAGAAGAATCACATCTCTGTTCGCATCACTTGCCTGTTGCAGCGACAACACTCACATTAAATCCATATGATCGGGTACTGAATCATGTGCCTGCTTACCTAATGATGAAAAGTATACTGAATTAATTCGCATTTTATTTATATATTTTATTTATTGAGTTATTATTTGAAGATGTCGCGAAAATTATGATGTCAATGCTATGGAACATCGATAACGGTATCCGTCATTCAAATTTGGAGGGGCTCAACTAATTTATGCATGATTAATTATGAATAATAACTCATGTGTTCTGTGGTTACATAGCTGCCAATTTAAAAATGCTTTGTCTACAATTAAGATTTATGCCAGACAATTTCAATTGTTCATCCGTGCAAACATTTAACTTTAATCGGATAAAATTAATAATGACGATAATGGTAGTTCGATCGGTCACTAATCCATCGCAATGTGGACAATGAACATTTAAGTTGCATATTTTACATTTATGCAATCAAAATATGCAACGTATATAAAATATTCGCATGTAGCGGATGTCGATGAATACACTTAACAGACAAAACCTTGACAAATGAGATCAAGACAAAACTAGAGGCGTGCCCAAAGCGAAATGGAATTAACTCGCACATCACGAAACTGGAGCAAAACCATTAAATGCTAGATCAATAGAAGCAGCGTCCTTTTCGGCAGACACCTTTTTTGGCGTTTATATCTGTAGAATGGTCATTCATTTTATATAGGTACTTAGTATATAGTAGAACGGGGGTTCTACATAGTAAAGGAAAGGCTAATCATCAAACACTTGTTTTCATTTTTCATAATGTATCTATTTTGCAGGCAGTTATAGAGCTGAGGCTGCAACGCAGAGATGTAAATATTAGGAAGGGAGTCAGACAGGAATGCACCCTGTCACCTATCAAGGAAGAGTTAGAGATAGCTTTGAATAAAATGGAAGCGGTGTTGACAAAACAGTACTGTATGAAAATAAACAAAAGTAAAACAAAAATACTGGTATGCAAGGAAAGGAAAAGTAGGGAAAGAACAAATATAAAGATAGGAGACGAAACTATACTCGTGAACGGTTAATTTATAAATTCGAAAAAGGTTGTTAAAGGTGTATGTTTGGAGCGCGGCGCTGTACGGATGCGAAACATAGACGAAGGAAACGGCGGAAAAGAAAAGGTTAGAAGCGTTTGAAATGTGGTGCTACAGGCGAATGATGAGGATACCGTGGATAGAGAAGGTTAGAAATGAAGAGGTATAAAAAAGAATAGGAGAACAGAGGACTCTATGGAAGTTAATAAGAAACAGGTGAGATAGGTTGGTAGGACACCTTCTCAGGCATGAAGGTCTAGCCAGAGATATATTAGAATTGAAAATAGGAGTTAAGTAGTAATTTCATGCAGCGCTTCCGAGTATCAACGTAAATTGTTCCTTATTAATATAATACAGCAGCTTCAAATGACTGTTATATAAGAACAGACAGGAAAAACCTATCCTAGGCTCCTTAGAAGATCTGATAGGAACCATCCTCTTTCTTCACTATTTTGTTGGATCTAAGAAAAAAATAAGAAAACTTTTGCGTGTTGGTCTCTGCATCTACTAACGCTAGCAGGCAGGCAGTCCCTCCAACCTGCACTTTAGTGCGAAGCCGAAGGGTATAGTGGAAATTCCTTATCAGTCCCTTTTTTGCGAATCGTATATAGAAATCTAGATTAAACCATGACGTTCGATGAATTCTGGATCTTAATGCAGAACAGTAACTTAATAAAGAGTTTTTAACAAATACCGAACTTTTAGTAAATTTTATTAAGTATTATTCTTCCATTTCCTTTCATCCAACTACGTAAATAGGTATTTCCATTAAGATAAAATTTGGAATAAAGTTACAGACCCCTCAGCTATATGAGAAATGATGGGATTCTTTTTGAAAATATTTTGATATAGCTCCTCCTGTTCAGTGGATAGTTTAGGATAGGCCTCTTAAAATGTGTTTTATGTCACCCACTATGTCATTTCCAAATAACACTAGGTACCTACAGCTGAACCATTGAGAGGTGGGCCCTGACCTTTTCACTTGCGGCGCAGATAATAAACAAGAACCGCGTTCGGTTAGAAGAGGATGTCGCTCACGCTCGGGAGAAATATCGAAATGCACGAGGGGTTGGCCATTGGGAGCACACAATTTTCTCTAACTTTATGTGTTTTTATTTTATTTATTTAGTCGTCCAATATATTGATCATGAAAATTACAGCTGGACCGGTTAGTGCGCGTCGAATTCTTAGCTTGAAGAAGATCATAAATGATTTACCTTAACACAGAAGAGCTATCGTATCTAGTAGTGCTGCAACAGACCTCTACTTCCGCTTCCGCAACTACGGAAGTTCCGCACACATTTTCACATCCGCATCTGGTTCCGCATTTTTGTAACGGAAGCTTATCGGAACTTAACAAAATCTTATTTCTCATCTGTTCGAAAAACAGTTTATCGGAATAATAAAATAAACCGTAAAAATTTATTACTTGTATCTGTTGCTTGAACTTGACCGTTTTCAAAACATAATTTAAACAGAATTGCTCGTTGGAAAGCTGGATGTTGTGCAGGAATTATTATCAACCGTTTATTTTTACGAAGTATTAGCGGCAATGCAGAGTTATGGCCGGCAAAATTTTGTTAATAATAATATTGTCGCTCTGCAGTTTAGGGCCTTAATATATTTCCTAGTAATTCGTATATTGAAATTTTCCAAATTTTATTTTTGACGTGATAACGTCTTATAATTCGATGGAGCCGGCTGCACGCACGAAAAAACATGACTCATGCGGCGTTACCTCGCTCTGAGCAAGAAATGGAATCCATAGTTTGTAGTTCTTCTAAGAATTTTATATTATACGCATTTATTTGCACACCACAAGATCTTTATTTTCTGTTTTACACAGCTGGCGAATATCAATTTGATATTGTTTTGCGGGCTGTTTTGTAGTAATTCATAGAATTTCGTAGCTCCTTTCTAAATATACGATAAGTGGTGATTTGGCAGGTGCTCATATTAATTTGGAACTTCAAAATTCCATGGACCATGACATTGAATCGGGAAAACAATATCAATCTAATATTTTAGATTATCAATTTCCAAGGAGTTTAGAATTTCTTTTGGGCTCTCTTCAGTTAAAGAATTAGAAGACATTAATGCAATGTATCTTTGTTCTCTTTTCAAGCTTCTAATACCTTCAATGGCCAATGTGAGCAGCTTTTATTCATCTTTGTATATAATGTTTGATCGGTAATACTATCAAAATCTTTAACCCCAAAAATGTATTTTGCGTTTTACAAACAGAAAATATGTTTGGAAAGGTATTCTAAATAAAATAGAAAATGCTTTTCTGAAAAAAGTNTGAAAAATGAAACCATTCCATCAGTATTTTCTTATGACGTTGTCACGTTCAACTATCGTCAGTAAACCGACTTTACAGACAACCGATTCTTTTTATTAATTTCCTGTTTTAATTTACAAATGTCCAGCACTTTCCGCTCCTGAGTAGTGTCAATTTTAAGTTAAAAGTGCGATTTTGAAGACAAAAAGAAGTTCCATTTGGGATTATTTTGTTGATATTAACTATACAAGCACTAAATGCAAAATTTGCAACAAAATATTCGCGAAAAGGGCGCACGGCATTAATTAGTCACCTAAAATCACTGCACTTCCGCTTCCGCATCCGCTTGCGTTTCCACTTTCGCAAAAATTTACTATTTAATTTCCGTTATAACACTTCCGTTGCGTCGCTAACCTGTAGGCATTACAATGTGACGGGTCACGTCTCATTGGTCCAGTTCTACTTCGAAAGACAAAAATAATACTGCAGATAATTAATGACAGGTATCTCCAAGTAAAAGAATTTACTGATTTTCAGAACTTATTAAAATCTATTCACCAATTTTATACATTTTTACAGTGATATTGCTTTACGTTACATTATTTTCCTAAATAAGCATAAGGAGCAGCACGAGCTATCAGTGGAGCAGCTGGAGCAGCAAGGTAGGGGGCAGCTGGAGCAGCAAGGTAGGGTGCAGCTGGAGCAGCAAGATATGGTGCAGCTGGCGCTGCAAAATAGGGGGCAGCGATTGCGTGATTGACATAACTGGCCGAATATGAGCTAGCATATGGGGCAATTCCATAAGCTAATGGTGCAGCTGCAGGCACTAGGCTTCCATAACATGATGTTATTGCGATAAGGGCAAACGTAATCTAAAAAAATATATAGATATTATAATCATATAATAAAATCATTCCCTTATATTCCGTAAAGAACATTATTGTTGCTTATTTATTTAACACGGGTATGAGTAATTTTTACAGTTTAACATCATTGGATTTTGAGGCAAATGTTTACAGAATAACACATACCTATGTTATTATAAGTACAAGTAAGAATAGCGCAGGGTCGACACGCCGTTAACAAAAAGAAACCACTTCTGTGCTCACGAACGGTTAATTTAGAAATTCGAAAGTCAAAACAGGAGCACTACGCTAATGGGTGCGAAACGTAGACGAGGTAGAAATGAAAAAGTTAGAAGCTTCCTAAATGTGGTGTTACAGGTTGAGGATACCGTGGATAGAAAAGGTTCGAAATGAGGAGGTATTAGAAAGAGTAGAAGAACAGAGGGCTCTATGGAAGTCAACAGGTGAGAAACAGAAACAGGAGCTAAAAGGAGTAGAAGTAGATCTGGATTAGATTACTATTCACAAATAGTTAAGGAAGATTAGTTTAGGATAGAAAAAAGTAGAGTTGCGTGTCCAACGAAACTCAAGACTGACGACCTGATGATGATGATGATGAAGGCAAAATGTCTACCGAACGTACAATTTACACACTTTTTTGACGGAATTTTTCTATATCGCACTAATACAAACTGTCCGAAACTAACCATATTCTCAAGATATTTTTGACAAAACGTAGCACCCCTCAAAGGCTTCAAATTGTATTTATTGGTCTTATATTACTTACTATACCACGTGTTATTTATAAAAAGATGATGCCGTTCTTTCTCAAAATAAAAAATTGAATGTTCATTCAAAACACTATTGCAACAGTTAAAATTTTATATCTTTAGAAAATATTTACTTACCACAACTTTAATACTCATTTTGTTGGTAATGTTTGAATGTTTCACTTCAACTGTGCTATAGACAATGAATATTTAGTTGGGGACACCTATAGCTTTTATAATGTAACTATTTACTGAAGGAGGGTGATTCCTAAAACGAATAAATTGTGTAGAGTTGTGCCATCAGTTACAATATTCTATACACAAGCTATTTATAATAGTTATGTCGAGAATAATAATGAGAAATGATATAATATGTCTACATAGGTGAACAGAGTACAATGAAATTACTGCTGCCCTACATTTGCCCCAGTGCATAATTTGTTGACGTATCTTCTTTGTAATAATCTACACGATTTATTATTAATAAAGAACCAAATAAATTACCTATATATTAACAAAATGAATCATTGCTATGCTCGGAAATAGTTAATTTAGAAATATGAAAAATGTGTCTGTTTAGAGCCGCGCCTCTGTACGGATGCAAAACGTGGACGTTCAGCGCGACGAAGAAAGTTACAAGTGCTCGAGATGTGAAGTTACATAGTCCAAACAAATTAGGCTTTTCGGTGGAAAAATTTGGACTAGACCTACATCATAAAAATTGCACGCCGACATACAAGTGTAAGGAATTTTATTTTATTTATAAACAACTAGCTTCGCTCGCAGAAATTAATATTCTTTCTCTATTAAACCTTTTAACTCCCAATGCACCCTTACAACGTTTTAATTTTATGTAATGTCGCCATCTTAGATTTCAAGTATAAACGCAACAACAACATTTGATCCTTAAGGGTTGATTTTTAAATATCGCTAAAACACGTATTTGCTTCGAAAATAACACAAATGGCGTGGTGAGCGCCATCTGTAGTACGATGCTACATCTGAGGATTATGTATGCTCCAACAAGGTCCATTTAAAAATATGGATATCTACTTGCTGAAACTAATCCCGTATTTTTAAATGGACCTTGTTGGAGCATACGTAATCCCCAAATGTAGCATCGTACTACAGATGGCGCTCACCACGCCATTTGTGGTATTTTCAAAAACGCGCTGTTAAGACAGCACGTAAAGGTTGGTCTGTGTTCTGTCGGAGCTGCCTGTGACGCGCCGATGAGATCCAAAAAGATTGAAATCGCGATCCGCGTCTGGCAGTTTCGACAAAATACAGACCACTTTGAATTATTTTGTAAGTATTTGCTTAATTTTAACAATGAGCAACCTTCGAGTAAATCCGAGTACAAATAAAATATACCCCATGGAAACGTTGCAACCTCTTTTTATTTGAGTCATAATATCAAATAGCATATGTACGAAGTTTCAAGTAAAATCAACCACAAATAAAGTGTGTCCCAAACAATAATTGCAACGCCTTTTTACTCTCATTTGGAGGTTGAATTTTTCAAAATGTCGAGATAGGTCTTTCAGAAATTAAATTTTCAAGTAAATCTGACCACAAATAGTATGTGTTCCATTTAAACATTGCAACTCCTCTTCACCACACGTCCCACCCAACAGAGATTGAATTTTTTAACCAGTTTCAAGTAAATCGGACCAAAAACAAACATGCAATCTTTACAAACTCCTTTCAGCTTTCCTAGAGGTAGAATTTTGTAAAATGTTGAAATAGGTATGTGTATCACTAATTTTATATGAAAAGCCAAATTTCAGGTAAATCTGACTATAAATAAAACACCATAGGTACTTAACCATAGACAACATTACGTTTAGCTGTCAGTTGCGTTTTGTTATACCATGTCAGTTGAGTTTACATATACCACGCTTTTCCCGCAGAACGTGTTTAGATGAATCACTTCTTCAATAATGATAAGGGGGTCCGATTTTTCAGTGATAAATTTTCTTCAATAATTAAAGATTTATCGCGAAAAAGCGATTTCTTTCGTGTCCACTTTTAAGATAGACATCCGGCTACTATTGCAAGGAGATTTTGGGAATAGAAGCCCTTTAATTTGTTAATAAAAAAAATATTGATTTCGTAATGCTAGCAAATGCTAATTTTTGATCCGTTATGATCTATGCTCACAGATAACATATAGGAAGTTTACTTCTATTCTGCCGAATTATAACAATCATATTATTTCATTGTTTAACGTTGTTTGTGACCATTTGTTTGTAAATTCGATGTTTAGGTAAGATACTTTTATTGGTCTCAATAAATCAGGTCTCATCCAAACTTTTACATAAAATGGTTGCTTTTCTGCTAATTTGCCTGGGATAATAGGTCTATGATGAAAATAGCGCAGATAAAAATATATAGAAATAGTAGGAGGGCACTGTGGAAGTCAATAACGAAAGCAGAGGTAGGATGATGGGGCACCTTCTGCAATATGAATTGACTAATGCAATTCTACAAATGAAATGAAAAGGTACATTAATATTAGATTTTTTTATTAATTTATGCAACAGTCATTAAAACTGTGGATTACAGAGGTAGTTGTTACTGATCAGTTCAATTAATTATTACAATCCGAATGGACCAACTCCAAATCCAACTCCAAGGGGACCACTAACTTCAATGTTTGTCAATCCACCGAGTCCAGTGCCAAAACCTAATCCGCTTCCAAGGATTCCATTACCAAAACCGAAACCAGTTCCAACCAATCCATTACCCAAACCCAAACCTACTCCTGGGAAAGGACCAAGTCCATTGATTGAAGTGAATTCAGCTCCAAGGATTCCATTGCCAAGACCTAATCCAGCTAATCCTGGATAAGCACCAAGTCCATTAAGTGAAGTAACTTCGGTGGACACGATACCTGGAGCACCAACTCCGACGAGTCCATTGGCCAAACCTAGGCCGGCTACAGATGAACATGGTGGAAGTATTCCTCCTAAACCGTTTCCAAGGATTCCACTACCAAAACCAAAACCACCAAGTCCATTAACTGAAGTAACTTCTGCATTTACGACACCAGGTAAGCCAGCTCCAATGATTCCATTACCCAACAATCCATTTCCAAAACCAAAAGCATTTACTCCTGGGAGAGCACCAATTCCATTAACTGAAGTAACTTCTGCGTTTATGACACCAGGTAAACCAGCTCCAATGATTCCATTACCCAACAATCCATTTCCAACACCAAAAGCATTTACTCCTGGGAGAGCACCAAGTCCATTAACTGAAGTAACTTCTGCGTTTACGACACCAGGTAAACCAGCTCCAATGATTCCATTACCCAACAATGCATTTCCAATACCGAAAGCATTTACTCCTGAGAGACCAGCTCCAATACCAACTCCTGGGCCTGCAATAGTGGCTAAACTTTGAGCGAATAGTTGAACTGCGAAAACAGATAAAACGGTGGAGTACATTTTTGTTGTTGGATTGTAATTCTACACTTGAAGACGGTTCAGGTGACTATGCTTTCTCAATGTTGGTACTCTCTTTTATACTCGATCCAAATATTATATTTTTTATTAATATTTTTGTAAATGTGCATACGACAAAAGACGGAACCTTCGAAATCAGATTATGCAAACATTATTTTATGATTGTTTTGAGAAATTCGTACATCAGCAAATGATTGATTGCTCACGTATCGCGATATTGTACGAATATGTCCTTTAAAATGTCGCGCAATATGTTATGGTTAAAAACGGTGTATTCATCAGAAAATGCTAAGCTGAACTTCATTTTGCCATGTTTATTAAAAAATTACGTTATTAACGTGCGATTAAGTTGTTCTTGAAGATATTTTGTTACTGACAATACAATATGATATTATGAATATTTCGAGAACTACTAAAGCACGTTTAGGCGTTAATAAATTTATAATAATAAAAATTTACTAATCGCTAGTTCCTGGATTTGGCTAAAGTTGCATTTTCGGTATAATTTTCTAATTTGTAGACCTAGCTCAATTTGTATCATTAAAATTAATATGTAATGTCTTTCGGGATAGACACGGGATTGCAGGTTTTATTCCTGCTTCTTCTGTCTACTCTAATTATTTAATTATAGTTTTTCTTTTTGCCATTTCATTAGATTTAAATAAATTTTAAGCTGTTCCATAGTCTTGTATTAAGAAGGAATCACTATATGCCTATTTTGTATTAGTATATTTGAATGCATGTAAGTATGCATATGTCAGCAAGTAATCAAACGGTTGGATATATCGCAGTTAACTAATGTATAGGGTTGTTCGGAAAGTCATTTCGTTCCAATTAATTCTATGCAGTAGTTTTTGGTTGGTGCCCTTTTAAATATGGAGAGCGATAAGCAGCATTTTCGACATATCTTACTGTTTTACTACAGAAAGGGTAAAAATGCTGTTCAAGCCAGAAAGAAATTGACTGATGTGTATGGAGAAGGTGTGTTGACAGTACGCCAGTGCCAGAACTGGTTCGCTAAATTTCGATCCGGCAATTTTGATGTCGAAGATGCACCACGTTCGGGAAGGCCGGTTGAAGCTGATAAAGACGCGATAAAGGCATTAGTTGATGTGAACCGGCGAATAACAACACGTGAGATCGGATTGAGGTTAAATTTATCAAATTCAACAGTTTATGACCACTTGAAAGGCCTGGGATTATCCTCGAAGCTCGATGTATGGGTTCCCCATGTTCTCACAGAGAGAAATCTGTGTCGCCGCATTGACGTCTGCGATTCGCTTCTCAAACGTCACGAAAATGATCCGTTTTTGAAGCGCATCATCACTGGGGACGAAAAATGGGTTGTATACAACAACGTCAAACGCAAGAGGTCATGGAGCAAAAAAGATGAACCGGCTCAAACCATTTCCAAAGCCGATATTCACCAAAAAAAGGTGATGCTGTCTGTTTGGTGGGATTTTAAAGGAATCGTTTTTTTTTAGCTTTTACCGGATAACACAACGATTAATTCGGAAGTCTACTGTCATCAGCTGGACAAACTGAATGATGCACTTCAACAGAAAAGGTCAGAACTAATCAACAGGAAAGGTGTAGTGTTTCACCAAGACAACGCGAGACCTCACACAAGTTTGGTCACTCGCCAAAAGCTTTTACAGCTTGAATGGGATACAATGCTACACCCACCATATTCTCCAGACCTGGCACCATCGGATTATTATTTGTTCCGGTCACTCCAAAATTTTTTAGACGGTAAAACCTTCACCTCAAATGAGGAGGTCAAAAACCTCCTCGATCAGTTTTTTGCCAGCAAAGACCAAAAATTTTATGAGCGTGGAATTATGCTACTACCAGAAAGATGGCAAAAGGTGTTGGACCAGAACGGTCAATATATAATTTAATAAAGTATTTGTTTATTATACGAAAACTGTCCTTCATTTCCACAAAAAAAAACTAAACGACTTTCCGAACAACCCGATATTATTGTACGTCAACAACGAGTTAACAGTAGTTTACTATGTTAGGTAATTGAAGAGTACACGGGAAAAACGATCTAACTCAAAAATATCGAAAATCAGGATTATTACACCAAATGGTAATTAAGCATGGGAATTTCATTTCGTCTACAGTAAACCATTGAAAAACCGATCCAAGTCCCTTATAATGGCGTGGGAAAATAGGCGTACAATGAAATAGCGATCTAAGTCCTCCCAATTTATGAATAACTGATCCAAGTCCGACTGCCAATCCAAGTCGATCTATTTCTTTTAATTCTTTGTCAATTTTTAGTCTAATTCTAATCGTGTTCAAGCTTGCAGTGCATATTTGGTCGTTATTAAGGTCGGAAGTAAGAATATTATTAACATGTCTAGTAGTGATAGCGACTCTATGCCATTGTTACACTTCCTTAGTAAATCACGAAAGAGAAAATCTTGTGGTCGTGTAAGAGATGTTGACAAACATGCCCGAAACCATACGTTTGAAACAGGGAATCCGTGTAACTGTAAAAGCCGTTGTTTTCAAAATTTGAACGATGTCGAAAAAAATAATATTGTAAGAAAATTCAACTTATTAGAAAACAGAAATTCACAGAACAGACGTATAGCTGGGTTAATTTCTATGCTACCAATTAGCAGATGTAGACCACGGAAAAGTGAAGATACTGCAAATACAAAACTAACAAAACTATTCAGAAAATACTACAAACGGCACAGTGAACGCCATCTGCAGCACGATGCTACATTCCAGGATTACGTATTTTTCAACAAGGTCCACTTGTGTGGATATCTACTTGCTGAAAACGAATCCCGGCGCAGCTAACCTCAACGTGATAGGCACGTTAGCCTAATCGAACAAAATAATTCGAAGTGGTCTGTATTCTGTCGAAACTGCCAGACGCGGATCGCGATTTCGATCTTTTTGGATCTCATCAGCGCGTCGCAGGCAGCGCCGACAGAACACAGACCAACTTTTACCTGCTGTCTTAACAGTGCGTTTCAGAAAATACTACAAACGGCACAGTGAGCGCCAAATACGTAATCCTAAAATGTAGCATCGTGCTACAGATGGCGCTCACTGTGCCGTTTGTAGTATTTTCTGAAACACACTGTTAAGACAACAGCTAAAAGTTGGTCTGTGTTCTGTCGGAGCTGCCTGCGACGCGCTGATGAGATCCAAAAAGATCGAAATCGCGACCCGCGTCTGGCAGTTTCGACAGAATACAGACCACTTCGAATTGTTTTATTCGATTAAGCTAACGTG